AAAAATCAATACTGTAAGGACATATCAGGAAACACACCTGGGAAAGAAAAACAGACAAAATGGACTTCAGCAAACTTAAAAATGTGTGTGCTTCAAAGTACACTATCAAGAAAGTTAAAAAGCCATGAAATGGGAAAAAAATGTTTTGCAAATCAGGTCTACAGTGGTCATAATATTTAAGGAAATTTAAAGCCTCATCATTAAAATACAAATATCCCAGTTACAAAGTGGACAAAGTATGTTAAGAAATAGACATTTCTCCAAAAAAGATATATAAATTGCCAATAAGCACATGAAAATTATTCAACTTTATTAATCATTAGAAAACTGCAGGCTGCGTACAGTGGCTCATGTCTGTAATCCCAGCACTTTGGGAGGCCAAATCAGGAGGATCTCTTGAGCTCAGGAGTTCGAGACCAGCCTAGGCAACATAGTGAAACAAATTTACAAAAAAAAAAAAAAAATTGTTTTAATTAGCCAGGCATGGTGGCACACACCTATAGTCCCAGTTACTTGGAGGTCGAGGCAGGAGGATTGCTGGAGCCCAGGTGTTTGAGGCTGCAGTGAGCCATGATTGTTGCCGCAGCACTCCAGCCCGAGTGACAAAGCAAGACCCTGTATCAAAAAAAAGAAAAGAAAAATGCAAATTAAAACCATAATGATCTATTACTTCACACCCACTAGGTTGGTTATAATCAGAAAGATAGTAACAAGTGTTGCTGAGGACACAGAAAATGTGAAACTCTAATGCATTGCTGGTGAAAATGTAAAATAGTGTAGCCACTTTGGAAAATAGTTTGGCAGATCCCCAAAAAGTTAAAAATAGAGTTACCATATGACCCAGATATTTTATCCCTAGGTATAGTCCCAAGAAAAGTGAAAACACATTGCTCAAATAAAAACTTTTACACTAATGTTCATAGCAGCATTATTAATAACAGCCAAGGTAGAAACAATCTAAATCATATCAACTGATGAATGGATAAACAAAATGTGGTATATCCATACAATGCAATACTACTTGGCCATAAAAATAAATGAAGTACTAACATATGCTATGATATTGATGAACCTTGAAAATATTATGCTATATAAAAGAACCCCAATAAAAAAGGCATCATATTATATAATTCCATTTACATTAAATGTCCAAAATGGACAAATCCATAGAGATAGAAATAAAATGGAGACAGAAACTAAATTAGTGGCCAGGCACGGTGGCCCACATCTGTAATCCCAGCACTTTGGGAGGCCAAGGCAGGCAGATCACTTGAGGTCAGGAGTTTGAGATCAGTCTGGCCAACATGGCAAAACCCCTTCTCTACTAAAAATACAAAATTTAGCCAGGCATGGTGGTGTGTGCCTATAATCCCAGCTACTTAGGAGGCTGAGGCAGGAGAATTGCTTGAACCTGGGAGGCGGAGGTTGCAGTGAGCTGAGATCACACCACTGCACTACACTCCAGCCTGGGTGATGGAGTGAGACTCTGTCTCCAAAAAAAGAAAAAGAAACTAAGTTATTAGTAGCCAGGAGCTGGAGGGAGAGAGAAATGGGTAGTGACTGCTTAAAAGGTATGGCATTCCCTTTTGGGGTGATGGGCATGGTCTGGAATGAAATTGTGGTGATAGCTGCACAACCCTGTGAGCGTACTCAAAAACCACTGAACTGTATACTTTATTAGTGAATTTTATGGCATGTCAATTACATCTC